TAATTGTACATGTGGAAGATAATAAGACTGATTCAAGACCAACCGTGTGTTATGATTATGTATTTTAGTAATGGGGAAAAAAATGAATTAAAAACTGGAGGTAATAACTGGTTATGGAATTTAAACATGAAAATTGCAGTTTGAAACTTCACAAGATCATACAATTTTAAAATGTTGAGTTTTTTAAAAAGAGGACTTGAATGTTCATCAAAGCTCGAAAACGTCATCAGGCGCATTGCCTTTTTTTGCAAGAGAACACAAACTTTGTAAGTGAGCTTGAAGAAATTAATTGGGAAACTGTTGAAAATGAACTTGATATTAACGTTGCAGTTAATAATTGGAATGCATTATTCACTGAAACCGCAAATCATCATGCCCCATTAAAGCAGACACGACTTAAAGGAGTGAGTCACCCATGGATGAATTCACAACTTTCTAAAGAAATGCAATATCGAGATAAGCTTTATAAATCTGCTATAAAAGTTAACACAAAAGAACAATGGCATTTATACAAGAAACAAAAAAACTTTGTGAATAGAGAAACACAGCGTTGTAAGTCAGAGTATTATATCAAGCTTATAGATGAAAATAAACAAAATTCGTCTGCCTTATCGAAAACTTTAAATGAAGTTACATCACGTAAAAAGAACCCAGGTATCTCATGCGTTAAATCGGAAGGAATTATTTACTCTGACAGTAAATCGATGGCCACTATTTTTAATGAATATTTTGCCAGTGTAGGTACTAGACTGGCAAACAAGTTGAAATCTCTCACCACTGTGACCACTAGAGCTACTAGTTCTACCAGAAATTGGTCCAATAGCAATGTGATTTCCAAATTTAAACTGCAGCCAGTATGTGAACAAGTCGTGTATGATCAACTAAGACAATTAAAACCAAACAAAGCAATTGGGCTTGACGATATTAGTCCACGTCTGCTCAGGGATTCTGCCCATGTTATAACACCTAGTCTTACTCGGTTATTTAATCGATCATTGGCCAACAAAACGTTCCCATCTATTTGGAAAAAGGGTAAAGTATCTCCATTATTTAAATCTGGCGATCGGTGTGATCCCAACAATTACAGGCCGATAACTGTTCTACCAGCACTCAGTAAAATTATGGAGAAACTTGTCCATATCCAATTATATAGTTATCTTAATGGGAATAACCTAATTACTTCAAAGCAATTTGGATTTCGGCCAACACTTTCAACCAGTCTTGCACTGACAGAATTCACAGACAGCATTCTTGGAGATATGGATGCTGGTCGCTTTACTGGTGCCGTCTTTCTGGACCTCAGTAAAGCGTTCGACACTGTCGACCACGCCATTTTGCTGGGCAAGCTTCGCTCACTTGGAGTCGATGAGGATTCTCTCAATTGGTTCAGATCTTACTTATCCGAAAGAAGCCAAGTTACATCAGTCAGTGATAGTAGTCCCTCAGGGAAGCATACTTGGGCCGTTGCTTTTCATCGTGTACGTAAACGACCTACCATCGCTCAATTTGCAAAGTAAAGTCGTTTTGTACGCCGATGATACTGTGTTATATTACTGCAGCAAAGATGTTAAAGATTTGGAAAACAAGTTAAATGCTGATCTTGTTGTGCTCTCGAGATGGTTTTATGATAACTTACTAACACTTAATATATCTAAATGTAAGTTTGTTCTGTTTGGGAGCAATCAAAGGCTTAAGAAAGTACAGGATATCAACATTCACGTTGATCAACAGGAAATTGAGAACGCAGAATCATTTAAATACCTTGGGGTGATTGTCAAGCAGAATATGTGCTGGGCTGACCATGTGGACTCTCTTTGTACTAAAGTTGCCCAAAGGATCGGAATAATAAAACGTGTGAGGAAACTAATATCATTCCATGCAAGATTAATTGCTTATTCAGTTATGCAGATTTTGTGTGGGGTGACAAGAACAACGCCTGCTTGATGAATCAACTCCAAGTGTTACAGAATAAAGCAGCTAAGACCATACTGGACTTGCCTATGCGTTCTTCTGCTACGGAAGCCTTAAATGAATTGGGTTGGAAGTCGTTAGAACAAATTCGCCTGCTTCACAGGCTTACAATGGCATTTAAGTACTTAAATGGTTATATTGATATTGAACTAGACGTGAAGTTGAATAGAAACGTTCACAACCATGACACCAGAAGACGGAATGATGTGCGATTACCATTAAGTAAACGTAATTGGGGACAGCAAAGGTGTGTCTATCACATTTTTAAGGACTGGAATAATCTCGATTATTCTCTTAGAGAAATAGATTCTTTAGTGAATTTTAAACATTCTATTAGGAATATTTTTAAATAGATGCATTAACATTTAGGATTTTTTACACTCCTCTTTAGTGTTTTTATAATGTAATGCCAGTCAATAGATATGAACTTTTTAAATAATGTATTATACATAGTAATTTAGTATGCAGGACCTTCATGAAAACCACGTATCAGTGATTGTAGAAATATTACACTATAAACTGTAAAAATATTACAATAATAATAATAAACACCGGCACTTCTTAGATGCTTTTTCAGCTGTTCATCCATTGCCTAAACAAAAAAGCAGATTGGAAAAATGTTAAAAAATTGAGTCTATTTACATTTTATGCAAAGGAACGGACTCGGTACGAGCATAGCAGCCCAAATATGCATGATAATTTGAAAGCGTTAAATTTTTCGGCAATTTGTCAAGATGGTGTAATAATATATAATTACATAAGGTAGGAAACTCTTTTTTATGCTACGAAACTTACACCTTTTATTATGACAAAATACCTCAATTATATTGACTAAAACTAATACAAATAAACACTAAAAGTAGTGTTGTATGGGGTAGATCGTGGGGGTGGGAAATTTTATAGTGGGATTTTTATTGTGGGATGTGACGTCATTGATACACGTGTTTTTATAACGCGCATGGATTGAACATGTGTTTTTAAAAATGCGTGGACGCGTGTGTGGGGTTGACGTCACACGCGTGGATTGATGACATAAGGTATTTTATTAAAAGGCACATGCATTTAATGTAAAAACATGTATGATTAAAAGTATAAATAAGAGAAGGAAGAGAATTTTGATTAATCACAATGGACGATGCTGACATGATAGGCGGTGCGGTGAATCAAATTCAAAATGCAATAATTAACATTAAATCTCCAACAAAACGTGGTATTAAAGGTATATTTTATCGTCACCATAAAACATATGTTTGACCCTTAGACATTGACTCTCTTTTTACGTTTGTTTGTCTTTTGAGAGTTCATCCGCTTAGAAATGAGCTTGTGCAGGCATTGAGACCTATGTTTGTATATATGATTCGTCATATGTTGAATAAGGACATGAAGGAGATTCTTTGTGAATATGCACCAATACGTCCAGGAAAGTATTGTGTTCAGATTCCTTTTTGCGCCCGCTGTCTTATGGACAGCGAAGCGCTATGCAATTCCGTCAGGATTCCGTAGTGGTTGTTTTAGACCGAGAGCGTTGGACTCTGGGGACGAAACAGATCATCAGTGACGAAAAGCTGTAAAGCCGTTTGTTCCAAGTTCAGTGTTTTGTTTACCGATTCCCAGCAACCTATACGGAGTTTAGCAAGTCGAAATTGTTTGAGAATCAACCTCGTTATTATTCTAAGAACAGGTACGTTATAAACTAGTTTTTATGATAAGTTTCAAGTTCTGACAACCAGTCAGTGTTTGCCGTTTGGACCTTTTACTTTTGCACGTTTCGCATCTTCGCTTCAAATTCATTTACTGATTTAGTTTCAAAGGTTTGCCAGATTATAATATTGTTCCATGTCACTTGCAAAAAACTTTAACAGCTACTCTGTTCTCTTTCAGTTCCAACGACTTCATCTTCGAAGTCCACCGAGACCTCGTGTCTGCACTGACAAATAAAGAACGGTCAGACATTTTGTGTGTTATATCTACTGGTTATATCCACTGTTATATCGCACATTGCCAACAACTGCCAAAAACTGCCAAAAACTGCCAAAATCTGCCAAAATCTGCCAAGGTGTAATCTGCCAATCTGATAATTAGGTCCCAGGCTAAAATACTGTTTGAAAATTTAGTATCAGGTCAAACTATCTGCTTGAATTGCTCTTCGGTAGAACGGCCAGGGTTGGGCATAAACATAAATAAAGGATCATGGTGAAAATACCTTTATTGTATGTTAACATAGTAAACCAAGAAATAAAATGAAATTAGAAAGAGAGAATATTTTTATAATAGCAATGTAAGATTAACACATTAGTGCCGTAAGTAGTCCAAAAAACACCATTAAGCGGCAACTCTAAAACAGGAAGCAAATGACAGAAGACGCAAATTTGGGTATCTTCATCAGTCATTTGACACCAAAGCAACAACAAAAGATATTAAGCCTCTTGGGCAGTAGATATTTTCTTAAAGCAAAACTTAATGGAAGAAGAGCAGAGATTTTGTGAGACACTGGGGCCCAAGCCTCTATTGTTTTGGCCAGTTTCATTAAGCAGAACTTTAGGTAACGAGATGGCAATGGCTTTAAAAGGTGCGAGTGTTTGCAATGTGACAGCTCTGGTTGATGTAGTGAATGGCAAATTATGCCTCGTAAAGACCTTCAAAAAAGATGTAATACCCTGGGGAAAATCCCTTAAAGCGAGCTGTAGAGTGGACACTGGTCCTCTGAACAAATCGACACCTATTTTATTCGAAGCCAACGAGAACGGTCAGTGGCCCTCAGGTCTCCTAGTTTCGGACACCCTATTGACCGCAGTGACAGGTAAATATAACAGGCTGTGGAAGCAGAAGTTAAGAATACGACCAAGCATGACATAATATCATGGAACAGAACAGTGCTAGGATGCTTTCAACTTGTTACAACATGTTAAAATGTAATATTTGATGGATAAAGTGCTGGGATAACTTTTACTATTAAAATGTTACAATGGTATGATTGTCAATTGTTAAATCGCACATTGCAAACAACTGCCAAAGTATGCCAAGCCAAATAATCTGCTATACATTGAACAAAGTATAATTAGTATATCATTTAAATTTGCCAAAGTACTACAACTGCATTCTTAACTCTACAAAGCCAAAGGCAAAACAACTGCAACTGATCAGTACGAGACTACGAGCAGTGAATACTGGGAAAACAATGGGGATAGCAATTGAACAGTACAGGGCAAGAATTGGTGAACATGTGAGTTTCTTAAGACAAAGAGAAGTGGCCAGACGTGTAGCAGGTACATTTTGGAACACAATGTTAGTGCTATTTTATTTAAATGTAATTTATTTTCCAATGTTAAAGCAAATAAATGAAAAGTACAGTAGATCAAATGAGACAGTAATTTTGTTTATTAAAATGGTTTGCTACCACCAAGTTTATGTGCCTGGTTTGCTAAGATTGTCAAATGATATTGAAACAAATCCAGGTCCTACAGTGTATGGTATTGTTGATCCAACTAAAACTATCTCTGCTGATTTCAGTCAAGGTTGTCAAATAAGATTTGGACAGAATTCTGGAAAGCAGTGTGTTGCTATGTCCTTGACGGCAATAGTTTTTACTCAAATACAAGATATTCTTTACTAGGATACAGAAATATTAGATACAATTATGTTACATGGAGATAGTCTTTATACATGTATAACCAATTCAGTCAATAGTGATTTGTTATTATTGACTGATGTGCCAGAAATGGTTTCTATTAATGAGACAACATTTTATTTACAGTACAGTGAGTCATATGCTGGGGATGTGTTCATGGCGTGCAATAATGAACCACATTTCACATTACAAAGTGCATTAAACAGGGTATTTTCATCATCTGAATTAAATTATACTTTTGCCTTGCTTACTATTAGTTGCAATACTGTGGCAATCTTTAAAATAACAGATGGATCATTTAAAATATTTGATTCTCATGCTAGAAATTTGTTTGGCATTTCAAGTCCATTTGGAAAATGTATTTTAATTACAGTTGGAGATATCCAAAACCTTGCTGTATATTTTCAGACAATATCACCTGGAGGTATGCTGCCATTTGAAGTAAAAGGTGTCAAAGTTGATATATATGGGCAAGTATTGCCAAGCCTGGACAATAATAATGCACCAATTACTTCACAAGACCATCAGTCTCAAGCTGCAAAAAATGGCAATTTGAATACAATTAATCCAACATCTACCAGGTATCCAACTGCTGTGAACTGCTCTTTTTACAGTCAAAAATCCAAACACAAGGCAGAAACAGCTGAGGAACGTGAGCAAAGATTGTCAAAACAAAGAGCATATGCTAAACGTAAACGAGCAAGCGAAAGTAATGAGTGTCGACAGAAACGCTTATTATGGCAACAGCAATACAACAAACAAAAGAGAAAAAATGAAAGAATAGAACAAAGGCAAAAAAGGTTAGCTACACAACAGCAATACAATCAGCAGAAGAAAGCGAATGAATCTGTTGAACAAAGAAAAGTTAGGCTTGTGCGAGAAAAAAAATATTATCAAGAAAAAATTCAAAATGAGACTATTGAAGCAAAGGAGGCCAGACTGTCAAAGGCACGTGACTATAAAATGAAAGGACATAAACAACATGCTACAGATGCAGATTTAGTTAAAAAATTTCATGAATCTGTGTCAGAAGGCCCACTCTACATTTGTACATGCTGTGAACAATTATGGTACAAGCACAGTGTCCGGCATACAACAAATATCCGTTTAGCAAACAGTAAAATGGCTCATCATTTGCAAGGAATAAATAGTGTTAATAACAAAGAATGGATTTGCCAATCATGCTATGAACATTTGCAAAAAGATAAAGTCCCTCCATGTGCTGTGTCAAATGGAATGAAATTTCCCTCAAAGCCTGGGTTTTTTGACCTAAATGAATTGGAATGTAGGCTTGTTGCTCCAAGGTTAGCATTTCAAAAAATTATGCAAGCACCCAGAGGTAAACAATTTAAGATTAATGGTAATGTAGTGAATGTGCCAGCTGATGTACCAAACACTGTCAATATGTTGCCACGGTTACCTCATCAGACAGGAACAATAAAAATTAATTTAAAGAGAAGGTTACAGTATAAAAGTTCAGCATTATCTTTGAATGTAAGACCTCAGAAAGTTTTGCAGGCAGCTACATGGTTAGCAAACAACAGTACACTTTATAGACAACAAGGAATAACATTTGATCCTAATTGGGTTAAACATTATACAGATAACATACAAAACAATCCTGTTGATGATAACATTTGCAGAATTGATTCAGAAGATACTGACATGAATAATAAAAGTAATGATGGTTGGACTGAGGAGGAAGCAGAAGTACTGGCGGGAATCACAGACAGCATGCTTACTGCAACTGATTTTCTTAGCAATACTGAACGGGAAGGCATTTACAGTGTAGCACCTGGCGAAGGCAATACGCCAATTAGTATATTTAGAGATGAACATTGTGAAGAGTTAGCATATCCTGGTATATTTCTTGGCCAAAAACGACCAAGTGATAAAGAAAGATTGGTTAGCGCTTATTATAGTGAAATTTGTAAATCTGAGCTAAGACGATCAGATCGTAGGGCTGCTATGTGTGTGGAAAATATTTTTTTTAAAACCAAAAAGCTTCAAATGAAAATCTTGCTAGGAAAATGTCAAATTGCTTTGAGAAAATCTAAATCTCGCAATCAAACAATGACTGCAGGCCAATTGAAACAACAAGGTGGTCTTGAGAACCTTATTCACCACGATGAAGGGTACAAATTTTTAAGAGCATTACGAGGGTCACCACCTTATTTTGAAAAAGCAAAAAAAGATCTATTTGCTATGATTCGTCAACTCGGTCCAGCAACATTGTTTTGTAGCTTCTCATCTGCTGAAACTAAATGGAATCATTTACTCAGAATTCTTGGCAAACTTGTTGATAACAAAGACTACAGTGATGCTGAACTTGACAAGTTAGATTGGAATGATAAATGCAGGTTAATTCAAAGTGACCCAGTAACATGTGCCAGGCACTTTGATTTCCAATTCAATACATTTTTAAGACAATTTTTGATGAGTAGCACTGCACCAATAGGAAAAATCAAAGATTGGTTTTATAGAGTTGAATATCAACAACGAGGCTCACCTCATATACATATGTTAATATGGCTCGAAAACCCACCTGTGTTTGGAGTTAGCGAGGATGAGGATGTCATTTCATTCATAGACCAAATTATCACATGTCAAAAACCAGATGATGATGAGCCAGAACTGCTTGACCTTGTTAATCGACAGATGCACAGACATTCACACACATGTAACAAAAATAAGAAAAATGTTTGTAGATTTAATTATCCTCAACCACCGATGAGATCAACAATGATATTACACCCCTTAGAGGAAACATTTTCTGAAGCTTGCAAAAAAAGTCTTAAGCAACAATGGAAAGATATTGTGACAAAACTTAATGATTTGAGAGATGGGCAAAATGTCACATTTGATAATTTCCTTCAGGAACTGGGTGTCTCTGAACAAGATTATCTTTTGGCTTTACAGTCATCGCTAAACTGTCCCACAATATTTTTGAAAAGGCAGCCGAATGAACTTAGAGTAAATAATTACAACCCAGCTTGCCTTAAAGCATGGAGAGCTAATATGGACATTCAGTTTGTTCTTGATGTATATGCTTGTGCTATGTATATTGTTTCTTACATTTCTAAAGCGCAGAAAGGCATGAGTGAATTGTTACGGAAAGCATGTGAAGAAGCAAGGGATGGTAATGCTAGTATCAAACAACAAGTTCGAGACATTGGCAACAAATTCTTGAACAGTGTTGAAATCAGTGCACAAGAAGCAGTTTATATTACCTTGCAACTACCAATGAGAAAAGCTTCGCGTAGTGTAATTTTTATCAACACATCACCTCCTGAAGAAAGAGTTCGCCTATTGAGGCCAATGAGTGAAATTGAGCATATGGAAGATGATTCAGAAGAAATTCATGCTGGGGGTCTGCTAAAAAGATATATTGAGCGACCACATTGTCTCGAAAATGTCACTTTAGCTGATTGGGCTGCTTGGTATGATAACTGTGGGAAAAGATCATATAAACCAAAAAAATCACCTAAAGTTGACATTGACAATCTTCCAGAAGAAACAATTGATGATGAGAACAATGATGATGAATTATGTGATCAGATCAATACAGACATATTAAAAGGCAATGGAAACCCTAAAAAGAGACAGACAGCTCGAATAATCAGAAGTGTGTGGTTCAACAAAGAGGCCAATCCAGAGAAACATCATCGTGAATTAATTATGCTTTTTACCCATTGGCGAAATGAAGATACTGATCTTATTGGAAAATACTCCTCTTATGAAGACCATTATTTAGCCTTAGCTGATACCATAGCTGAACAAATGAGTCAGTATGCAGTTTGTGCAGAAGATTTAAATGCCATCCAAAACAGGTTAGATGAAAATGATGATAATGATGATATTGGTAACATTGCACCAGTTACACAACATGATGAACTGCAAGATCAAAGTGAAGGGAATGTCGACTTACATCCTGATCTGAATGAACAATATGATTTATCAGGTGATCTTGGTATTCCATCAACATCTGTAACTAATGAACCACTTGTGTTGAATGAAATGCAGGATAATGAATACAGAACAATGATGCAATCGCTCAACAAGAAGCAAAAGGAATTTTTTTATCACACCTTACACGTTATTAAAACATCTGACAAACCATTTTATTGTTTCTTAAGTGGTGGAGGAGGTGTTGGAAAATCTCATCTGACAAGATCAGTTTACCAAGCTGCTCTCAAATACTATAACACTCGTGCTGGTGAAGATTTCCATCAAGTTAAAATACTTTTATTAGCTCCAACTGGTAAAGCTGCTTACCTCATTAATGGTAACACAATACACAGTACCCTTGCAATACCAGCCAGCCAATCTCTTAGACATTATAAACCATTAGATGCAAGCCGGCTAAATACATTGCGCTCTCGGTTAGGTGGTGTTAAACTAATATTATTGGATGAAGTCTCAATGGTTGGAAATAACATGTTTACAGTACAGATAAACAACCGTTTAAAAGACATTAAAGGTAGCAAAGAGGATTTTGGAGGTGTCTCCATTATTGGAATTGGTGATTTGTTTCAATTACCACCTGTATTTGATGGTTATATTTTTAATGACATTCAAAATTCAGAATATAGCATTCTTTCACCTAATTTGTGGAATGAACACTTTAGAATGTTTGAACTAACAGAAATCATGAGGCAAAGAGAGAATAAAGAATTTGCTGAGATCTTGAATAGATTAAGAGAAGGAAACTATACAAATGATGACCTTTTAAAAATCAAAACAAGATGTGTTACAGAGACAGAGTGCCCTCCAGATGCTCCTCGATTGTTTATTAGGAATGACAATGTTGATAAGTACAATGAAGCAGTTTATAACAGAGCTACTGGAAACAAGTACAGCATTAAAGCTCAGGATAGCGTTATTGGTACCAACACTGTAGAACTGAGAGACAAAATTTTGAATCAAGTAATAAAAATGACCCTGCGAAACACTAAACAGCTTGCTAGAACTTTACAACTTGCTGTGGGTTTGAGAACAGAGATGGTGTTGAATGTAAGAACTGATGATGGTCTCACAAATGGAGCTAGTAATATTATTAAATTAATACAGTTACACCAAGCAAATAGACCATCTGGTATAGTATGGGTGGAGTTTGACGATGAAAATGTTGGCAAGAAAACCAGACAGGAAAATAGACATCTTTATGACCAAGTTATTGAACGTTCATGGACACCAATCAAACCTGTTACTGCTCAATTTGCTGTCGGTAGAAATAAGGCTGCTCAAGTTGTCAGAAAACAGTTTCCACTAAGACTAGCTGCTGCGAAAACCATTCACAAAAGTCAGGGAAGTACTATGTCTGAAATTGTTATTAACCTAAACACCAAGCGTGCATTTTCACATGTTCATTATGTTGCATTGAGCAGAGTTACCTCAATTGATGGTTTATTTGTTACTGACCTTTGTGAAAGCAAAATTGCTGTTGATGCCAAAGTTATTGCTGAAATGGAAAGGCTAAGGGCAGAGAAATACTTGGAACTCTGTTACACTCCATTTTATAATTTGGAAGAAACCTCTTTGAAGATATGCCATTTGAATGCACGTTCTTTACACAAACATATCGAAGATGTTCGTAAAGATCACAATTATTGTAATGCTGATATAGCAATATTTACAGAGACCCGATTTAGTCCATTTGATGACGATGAAATGTACACAATGAATGGATTCCATCTTTTCAGAAATGACAGTCTGTTTAACCAACATACAAACACGAGAGGATATGGCGGTTCTGTAGTATACAGCAAAGTACCCTTCGTCCCAGGGTATCCGTATTGTCACAATATGAACGGTGTTGAGTTCACGGTGATCAAAGTTGCCAGCAAAGTTGATACTACCATCATTGCAGTGTATCGTTCACCGAAAGTTCCTCTGAGAGATCTCTGTTCAGCTTTAGCCAACATTTTCGATGACCACAGCTCATTACAAAATATTGTGATTGGAGATTTCAATGTCAACTGGTTAGTCCACACAGAACGACAGCCACTTTACAATGTTATGGTGAGAGACAATTGTTATAGACAGTTAATTTCTGATGTCACAACTGACAATCAGACACTAATTGATCACATATTCACAAATATTCCTAGCAATGAGACTGAATCAGGTGTTCTCGAAGCCTATTTCAGTGATCATAAAGCAATCTGGGTTTCAATAAAGGCTATACAATAAATAATGTTACAGTGTGAATGTCCAGATATAAGACTTGTTCAACTTCAAGATACTTCAGAATTTCATTATCGTCACATCACTGAATCTCTGCCAATCAAAGTATCAAACACTACAATTTTATACATAATGAAAATCGATAACACTATCTGCATCATCCCATCATCTAACACAATTCGCTACAGGTCTAACTTTTAAAAATAATGGTTAACACAGTAAACGCAAGTGATGCATTCACAAGAGGTTATTGTAGTTAAATCTATAATTTCTAGTTTTTCTCCATGATCATGGAAAAAATCCTATATTGGGATATTGGAGCTCTTGTGCTCCAATTACCTCTGCCATTGTCAGGCAATTGCTAGGAAATATTAATGCTATGGTAAGTATTAATTATAACATGTTAGGTTTACACCCAACTGCAGCAGCAAACTGTAGCAATATGTTAAGTCATCAGAACATAATAAGTATTATAAAAACATAATACAATTGTTAATTAGTGATTCAGTATTGCCACTCTGAAAGAAGTTTCTGTTGTTTCTTTAGAAATCAAATTAGCTAGTGGAGACCATAGCTGTGCTTTCATGCATATTGCAGACAGATTGTCTAGCAACACATGTTCAACATACATGTACCTTTCAAGATTTCCAACTATTACATGGCAACATGCAACACCATCCATGGTATGTATTAAATAAAACTGCTATAATTACATACACTATAGTACACCCATATAATACTAGTCTGCACCTAAACTAGGTAAACTTTTCCTGGAAGACAGCGTAGGGGGACAGATAATACCCCCCCCCCCCCATCTGCCAAATTTAGTTAGAATGTTCACAATTGTACTTCATCAGATACTGAAACAAAAAGTTACCAAAAAGCTGTTTTTAGATTGATATTAAATAGGTGTTCTTGTTGCAATTTGTAGCAATGAAAGCAAAAATTGCCACAACATATGGTATGGACAGACTGCTTCAGTCTGTGATCAGCTTCGATAACATTGGAACACAAGATTGATGCATTTTAGTGGTATAGTGCATGTAGCTGTAATGTATGAACAAGCCTGTAATTACCCTGCTGGCAATGGTAAACAACAAGCACTGGATGAATGGATCTTGATCATTAGTACATTGACACTTGACATTATGATGTAAGCTAATTAAAAGACAGTTAATTCACACTCAATCGAAATATATTAATTGTGCTGTTAATTAGGATAAATTACATATTACCTTGGCTGTGCTATTTTCAGGTTTACTGTGTACTATGCATTCAGTGTAATCAACTAAAACATCACTGTTCACCATGTTTCATAGTATGTAAATGACAGTAATTTCTGTCAGTCTGCCCAGTGTCTTAGTATCATATTAAAGAACATAGAATAATTAAATAAAACTTAACTATGATTAAACAGATTGCATTTGAGTTTTAAAGTACAGGGTAGGACTGATGTTGACACATTGCCAAAAAACTCGATCGGCCAACTCATCAAACAAACCAGAATTCTCTTTGAGATTGCCCAGCACTATCAACCATACTTCACATTTCAGTTTACTTTGTCATCTGCTATACACTTTTTGTGATAAACAGGACTTGAAATATGGACTCATTATTCCACACAAAAGGCTTTCTTAGTGAAATACTTTCACAAATTGAAAATAAAATTCATCCTAGTTTTGTATATCCTGTATTATAAAAATGGCCCTTTAAAACATTAGAATATTTCAGTACTAAATACTAGCCCATCTATATAATTATTGGGTGAGCAATCTCATCTAGCTACTCCAGTCTGGAACTTTAACAAGACTAAAAATGAAGTAATTCTAAAGGAATAAAGCCTTCAAAGCCACCACTGTGAATGAACATGTGTTTAATAACCATGCATTACATCAGATTGTACTTGTACAAACCCATAGGTAGATTACTAGTGTGTCAATTAATAGACAGCATTTTAAAATCCTCAGATAAAATTTACCCAGATGTCCATGCAGTTTTACCTAACTCTGAAATCTCAATATTTAAAGACAGTTCATGAAACAGCTTGTATCAAAACCCAACTAAACTTTATTTTAAGCAAAACAAAACATCAAGACAATGCTTCAATAGAAGTCTATTTACATGCTTGCCTTTAAACTTAAAAAAAAATAAAGGTGTTGATTGTTCTCATCTTCTGCCTCACACTATTATTCCCAAAGATTAACTTTTATATTATTAACTACAGGTGTCCAACACCATGGCACCACGCCAACACAACATCAACAGTTAATTAAACTGTATAATTACGATCAACTCGTTTTCATATTTATAAATATATGAACTTCTAAGTTCTAAAGTACCGACATCTTCGTAATTACATTTTGCGTAGCGTCATATGTAATTGTGATGTTTTCGAGAGCCAATAGACATTGACTAATTTCATCGTCGCCCATATTTAACGCATTACTGACGACCTCACACAGAACCTTTTGAAACATGGTTAATTCAATCGGATCCCCACCTGTCGATCGTGTTATAACAACGCGAACGCACAACTCCTTCGCACAGCTACCTACACGCATTCGTGCCCCACACTTGTCACAGCGAACAATCGCGGTTGCTGAAGCTTGCAATAATTTCTTCGAGCAATTCAAATTGCAACAAAGCAAATAACCATCCACCGATTTGATTATGTCAATGCATGGAACATTGATTACCTTCGAAAACTCACACAACTCGTCCCCTTCTGCCAGGGTGATTTTGGCAAGATCTGCATTTTCGATTGGAGTTATAGACGTATCCATTGTTGTTGTTAACTTTTTTTCATCGGACCACATACGCACCTGCACAGCAGTGATCAAATACACACCACCTGTTGAGACCTCGGGTATCTGATTCTCCCACAAGTCGAGCCAAATCTTACCGGTCGTATCAGCAATACGAGCACACGCCAGTTTCAACTTCTTTGTGCCAACCACTCGCGTTTCACTGACATGGAGTATTTTGACTCGCACAGCAACAACATCCCATTCTTTGAAACCAGTGCCTGAAACATCAATAAGCGGTATCGGCCTCGTACGCTTGTCTTCAACTTCTTCAAACTGAAACGCATACTCAGTTTGGTCTGGCGTAGATAGTTTCGTCATGTCGTTTATTATAACTTTTTCACCATCTGTTGTCTTCGTATACCTCTCTATTTTCAACGGGGTATGGCTACTGGCACTGTCGACAAGCAACTGCCTCTTGCTTTTCGAATAAAGAAGCGCTTCCATGTTGCTTTCTTTTGTCTGCAGAACCAATGTCGAATAGTCTAGAGTGTTTTTACGATTTCTCTTGACTGGAGAAAGACTGTGCACGTAAGCGATTATCTCGTCGCTTTCCCTTTTTGGAGCCGCAGCCGAATTCGATTGAACTTGCTTGCCAGGTGAACAGTTTGATCTCACAACTTGTGGTCCTCGCCTTTGCTTCGTTGTTTTACTTTTAGAAGACATTCCGTAGTTATTTAGTTATAGCACTTGTATCTATAGCAGCAGTTTTGCACACGCTAAAAATCCCCGACACGTGCAGCACTAGTAAGCAATACCACAATGCAGTGCTTCACAGTGAGCAGCTCTATATATAACAATGATATATAATCCCCATTCCGCCCGAAGATTAGGAATTAGGCCCGGAACCCGGGAGAACATAGCGTAATCCAAAGTTGCCAAATGCATTGAGCTATATTAAAATTCCTGGAGAGAGTGCTCCTCGAATTTCAGTAACTTCGCCGCCATCTTTTTCCCTTACAGTAAACTCAAATAAGACGGAGAAGCTATTGAAGAACAATTTGAGTACACCCCAGTCCTACGATAGCCGGCACTTATTTTTTTCAGTGTTTTGACGGGGAATAATGGCTTCCAAACCTCCGACATTTGTGGTTTCTTTCATTTTTAAAAAAAAAAATTGGAAAAAAGTAGATTACTTTTCTCCCATGCACACTCACGTCTCTTGAGATATTGCCCCTTTCTTAGTAAATTTAAGTGCTAAAAAATATGCATTAAGTGGAATGAAGCTGACGTTTCAAGCGAAAGCCCTTCATCAAAACGAGTGATGAAGAGCTTTCGATTAAGGCTTTTCAATTATTTCAATGATTTTATTTGACATGGTCAGACGAATACAAAGTCTATAGTGCGTCTTCGTTTCATACGACGTCAATTCGCCGTGTCGAATTACTGAATGCATACGTATGTCTCTGATCCCATAATTTTTTACTTCGAGGTCGTCTACGACTACGAACCTCAAAATAAATTGTATTAATTAAATTTGTCCTTTGAAGCGAAACCATTATAACGTTGAACAACCGACGACGAATTTAATACACAATTAAACTCTGTTTTCCACGTAGGCCTCATATAAAAATAATTTCCAGAATCACCATGTCTCGAAACGTTGAGTAGCGGGCGCATGTACGCATTGCGTACCTATTTTTATTATAGTCGTCATGTATATGAGGAGTACATTGATGTATGGAATCACATTAGGGATGTCTTAAGACTCCCGAGGGGAATGCTTAATTGCGATTCAATTATTCAAATTGAAGATAATCTTTACGGATTGAGTACATGTCAGAGCTATAAATTAATACACAATGTGGTTAAGAATGTTTACATTGACAAGAAAAGAAATAAAGTGTTTCCTGATTTTATCTCTGTTTGTGGTTCACCAGATATTTGTGGTTCAAAATCGGTGAATAAATTATGTACAAATGATGTTAATAGTATCTTATGGAATGTGGTAAAGAACAGAGAGTCATGGAGTCAAAACAAAATAACAAGGGTTTATTTAGTTCGTATAATACCATATCGCGATATTATTTTAAAAAGGTATGTTTTTATAAAAAAGGCGAGTGTTTTTATTTACAGACACGTGTTATTAAAATGTATAAATATGTGTGGATTTTTCAAAAGAATCATTTTTTCAATTATGAGGTGGAAAAAGATTGTTAAGGCCAATTTCCACTTACAGCGAAATCGTTCGCCAGCGAAATATTTGCATGTTTTCTTTTGAATTTTAACTGCATAAATAAATTAGTTCGACTTGACTGTTCTCAATTCAAAAGAAAATATGCAAATATTTCGCTAGTGAAAGATTTCGCTGTGAATTTAAAAATTAAACAAGACTTACTGTAAGTTGAAGTTTGATTGTAATTCTAACAAATTACGTTAGTACAGAAGGGTTAACATGAGATGCGCACACACCGCCGCGGATCACCTTTAAAGACATTTTGTGTTCACTTGGAACAACATATGGGATGGGCTGATAAAATATAAGGGTACTCTGGGCATGTTAACCCTTCTGTACTAACGTAATTTGTTAGAATTACAATCAAACTTCAACTTACAGGTAAGTCTTGTTTAATTTTTAAATTCTACCAAATCACTAAGTACATCCGGGTTACCATGAGATTTCAAAGCAGTGTGAACACAAAACTGGAGCACACACACATCAAATAGGCATTAAATTCCAATGTAATCACAATTACATATACGATTGATCACACGTTATTCAAACACAAACGATACTATTTCTCCAAAACAGCAAGACTCATTAGTTATTCCAACAGGCTTCTTATAAAACTTCCTAAAAGTCGACTCTTCTTTCCAACCCGCTGTGGCAAGGATTACATCAACCGAAACTGAATTAGCAGCTTTGCTAGTGGCAGCAGACCTAGTGCTGTGAGCAGAAAACTGTTTCGTATCAATACCAGCTTTCTCTAGTTGTAATTTTATCCACCGTCCAACAGTCGATGTAGAAACTGCACGATAAGGCTTAACATAAGACACAAGTAGTTTTGTAGAAGACCTTAGCTTCTCAGTCACACTAATATAATAATCCAAAGTTTCATACACACACAGTTCCTGTTTAGTATACTTGTACAGACATAAATTGCCAAAAACTTTGCCAGGTCTGTCCTGCTTGATGTGCTCTGTAAGAGCAAACCGATAAGAATCTACCGTCTTGTACATATACTCAGCCGAAATATCCAAAAACGTTAACGTTTGACACCTCTGTCCAGTCGTTAAGGCCATCAGCAACACCAATTTCAGGGTTAGATCCTTCAGCGACAACGTGTCCAGTGGCCAAAGGGAAGATAGATAGTCAAGAACAGGATCAACTGACCAAACACAATGATACTTTGGAACAGGTTTAATCGTATTAAACACTCCTTTGAGATACCTGCACACTAACAAATGTCTGCCAACTGGAACATGACCTAGACTCTGCCCGGGATAGAAGTCCAGATTTGAAACTGCGGAACGAGCCGTATTGAGAGCAGAGTAACTCATACCGCCTTTGTACAGGGATTGTAGAAACAGCAAGAGACTCTTTACAGTTGGACGCAGGGGATCACACGACCCTTGAATACAAAACTGCACCCATCTGTTGATGTAACAGTTGTATTGCTTGTGGGTACTGCTCCTCCAGGAGTGCATGATGGTATCAACAATGTCCGGCGGAATGTCTGAGTCTTGCAAGGATCTCCGGATAATTTGCATACCAGCAGCCGCAGCCGATCTTGGAGTGGATGGGGACTCTCCCAAGTTGGATGAACCAAAGTCTGGTGAGTCACATTCAGAACGCGTGGTATCTCTATTAGCAGACTGAGCAAAATTGTGAAGAAGGGTTGGGTGGTCCAAAGCGGCACAATTAGAATTCCTGTCGCCTTGTCCTGTATAATCTTCTGCAGACATCTAGAAACAAGGCAAAAAGGTGGAAAAGCGTAAAAGAAATTACTTGACCACCCAATAGAAAAGGCATCTATGAACTTAGCCTTAGGGTCTGGCTTCCAAGAGGCATAGTCCTTAAGTTGGGCATTGAGCCGGCTTGCAAAGAGATCTATAGTCGGTTTTCCAAACAAATTGATAATTATCCGGAAAATATGCGTAGACAACATCCATTCTAAACTTAGGTTAAAAGACCTGGATAAATTATCAGCATCCATGTTGGCTGAACCAGCAATATGAGCTGCCGATAACCAAATCTCTTTGGCAATGGCCCAATTCCAAATTTTTTTTAGCAAGAGAATTACATTGCTCTGACCTACATCCACCCAATTGGTTGATATAAGTGACCGCAGTGGTGTTATCACACATAATACGAACATGGATATTAATTTGGTCATTTAACAAAGATAACAGAGCCAAATGAATAGCTTGTAGTTCTAAAAAATTAATATGTTTACGAGCTTCGTCTCGTGACCAAATGCCGGAAGTGCTAACCCCGTCTGACAACTTGGCACCCCATCCTATAGCTGAAGCATCAGTATACAGGACAACATCCGGGGGGGCATGATAAATACTTCTAGAGGCTAGTGGAATGTTATTTACCCACCAATTAACTTCTTCTAGACTGTCGGCAGACAGTGACATTTCCGCATCAAAATTACCTTGATGCAATTTAAGATTATAATCTTTGTCTGCCTCGATATAACGATAATGCAGTGGACCAAACTCCACTCCAGGAAAGGATGAAACTAACGAGCCTATAAGTGATGCTACTCGGCGAATTGTATGTAACGTATTCGGCTGTTGAAATTTCTGACATAGGAGCAAAAGTTTTTCCCGTTTTAAGGATGTTAAAGTCACAGTCATACACACAGAATTTAGCGAAAACCCGAGGTACTCAATACACTGAGTCGGAATAAAAACGGATTTATCAGGGTGAACCATAAAGCCTAAACTGCTAATAAGCCGAACAGCATGTAGAGTGGCCGTATGGCAATCTTCATAAGTATCTTCAATATACAAAGAATCATCTATATAGCCCAAGCATGTATGGCCAAATTTAGACCTCAAAGTTGCAAAAACGGGTTTCATAACTTTAGTAAAGATTCTTGGACTGCTTGACAAACCCATGGGTAAGCAAGTGAAGCAATATAATTTGTCCCGCCAAAAAAATTTCAAATATTTCTGATGCTCACTTGCAACAGGAATAGAGTAATATGCATCTTTGAGATCAATAGATGTCATGAAACATCCAGGTCTCATAAGCTTTATGGCAGTTTCCAAAGTGTCCATCTTGAAATGATGATAGGACACAAACTCATTTAGCCCTTTTAGGTTGAAAATAACTCTACTAGACCCATCTTTTTTGGGCGTAATAAAGATAGGTGACAAAACCTCGCCAGACTCAGAAACTGACGACTTAATTATTCCCTTATGAAGAAATTTGTCAATTTCCCCATCAATGATTGTTTGTTCCGCCTCATTAAACGTGAAATAAAGTCTAGTTGTACTTATTTCTGCAGCCGGTAAAAAATCAAATTCAATGTGACAATGAGTCACAGCATCCAAAACAAATGGATCTGAGGTAATTTCGGCCCAAACATGCAGACACTCCTTTAAACCGCCTGCGCTAAAAGGAGGCTGACTATCAATAGTATCTTTACTTACCTCACGAGAAGATGCTATTGTCCTTTGCTGGCTGGAGTCCTGGTGTTCTGTGGAGGCCGGGTTTGACCCCGGCCTACCCCTAAAAAAGGCCTTCCACCTCTACCTCTGCTAGAAGTCTGATTGAACCGGCCACGACCACGGAAACTCCTATTACTTGGGACCTTGTAAGGTTCAGAGCGGTAGTCTGAACGATGCTTGGGAGTGACTTTGTTGCTTAACTTATTCGATTTAGTAAGTTCCTCGACCTCCTTATTAAGGTCGTCACCAAAAAGGTTGGTTGATACTGGTATAGAGGGATTACACAAAGAACTATATTGTTTATTGAGATCAGGACGAATGAAGTCCCTGCGTCTTAGATTAAACTCCCTGTTAGCTGACAAAAGTAGAACAGTAGCATGTGCAAGGGTACGTCTTTTATCCCCATCAGAAGAATTGCACACCTCGAGAACTGCACAAAGGCCTGAAATCAACAAACCCTGAGCCTTTTGCAGAGCAGAATCAGTATTCCTTGTCTCCTGGCGCATTTGTTGCCAAACTTGTTTGTTAACCTTAGGCGCAACCAAATGAGGGCAATTTTCAGGTCTTAGATACTTTGGTTGCACTTCTGCAAGTTTTTCTTTTGGCAGTTTATCTTGCAATAGACCATTAACAATAGCCGCCAATCCAGATGAAATAGGGATAGCTGTCCGCTCGGACACTGAAAATTCCTCCGCTAAATTTTTAAAAGCACCAAGATCAGATTGACCATCTTGGCTAGCTAAGCCGTCTGCCTGAGGTTGGACAAAATTGTCAATAAGACTAGCAAGCCCAGGCTCTGAAACATCAACAGAACGGGCATCCTCATTCTCAAGAGCAACCATCTCAAAATCAGAGTAAATTTTATCAATATTATCCTTAACTTGAGCCAGAATATCATTCCTAGACTCTGCCAATAGCTCTTTAAACATGGCTTTCATCTGGGCAGTCGAAGAATTTATATTCCCAGATGTAGAAGCAGACTCGTCTGCCAAAATGTTATCGTCCATCACCTAAACAAATGGTGCGGGACTGTAAATATATTCAGGCACAATAATAACAAGTGCCAAACAACAGAAAGCGAAGACACGTCTTACACTTTCAACATACACTGTACAGGACACGTCCTGTAAACAATCCACTTGGCAATGTGACCCGTCACAAAACCGGGAAATTGAATGCGATTAAGCTTCAAATATATAGTAGATCTCGTCTACAAGAACAATAAAACGATAAAGATACAAATAAGCTATACTTACCGAGAAATATCAATGATAAAAGCCCAAAATATAAAAGAAAATTGTCGAATGTCTTCGCAAACACGTGAATCCAACGACGTTAAACAGTGCACTGATCCGCGGCGGTGCGTGCGCATCTCATGGTAACCCGGATGTACTTAGTGATTTGGTAGAATGGAAATCCGCCTTTAAACAGTGGTATGAAGAGAAGAGGAGTTGTACAAATGTATCAATCAGCGATTTAGTGGAGATGTTGGTAGAGGAGGGGATTATACCTCGAGGACTTGAGAGACGAGAGAGTTTGACTTTACATAGTATTTTATTAATGCAAATCGTAATGGAGGTTATGGAGAGGATACATGTACCTCCAGCTGTTCAAGATAGAAGTACTTTTTCTTATCATATGAATGCAAAGGAGATGTTATTATCTGAGATGCAAAGAAGGAATGAGGAACGTGTTCAATGTTTGGAGAAGAGTGCAGGGGTTAGTTTGGACTATTTTTATAAACTATGGACACATGTTTAGGGATATAAACGTGTCTTTTTTTTTAAATATCCACGTGTTTTTTTAAAGTATATAAAAAGATGTTTTTAAAAATGTATGTTATTTGTGGTATGAACATAAGAGAGAGAATTATGAATGTAATATACGACCGGCTTTGTAAAAACAATATAGATATTGATGTTTTAACTTTAACATTTCATATTGATGAGATTTATGGAAGATATACAGACACATATAATGAGATTTTGAATGCATTAACATATGAGGATCTATTTAAGATATGGGAGTTAATGCGTCCTAGTACACAGCCAGAAACGCGCAAGTTGCAGCAGGCCTGCTGCAGACTTGATGCAAGTTGCGATCATCAAGCCGATATCAGGATGCGTTTGCATCGCTTGCTCCGGCTTGATAATATCAAGCCTGTTGCAAGTTGTTAACAGACTTGCTGCAAGTTGTCATCGGCAGACTTGCTGCAAGTTGTCATCGGCAGACTTGCTGCAAGTTGTCATCGGCAGACTTGCTGCAAATTGTCATCGGCAGACTTGCTGCAAATTGTCATCGACAGATTTGCTGCAAGTTGTTCTATCAGACTTGATGCAAGTTGTGAACGGCAGACTTGAAGCAAATTCCAGTTGACATGACAACAGAAGACTTTCGAACACACGTTTTCTTCATTTGATTTCACGAAACTTTAACCACGAATGTTCCGAACTCATTTGTATAAAGTTCGCAAGTTTGTTGCATAGTTTACAAACTGGTTTGTGAATCCTGATTACCTTTACTGACGTTTGAACTTCGCAACTAACCTTGTCCTCGGAACATTTGTGATCAAGGTTTTGTAAAATCGACTGTAAAATAAGTAAATAACACGTTAGAAGAGTGTAGTTATTTATTACATTTCACCGATATTAGTAAAATATCGAACAAGAACACATCAAGATTTTTGTGATATAAAAGGTCAGATCACAATCAGATATGCTTGCTTCTTGTATAAAATTTATAATCGTGTCAGGACTGTTTGCCATCCGATGAACAATAATAAACACATAAAATCAAAATTCACCGAAGATAGGCCGAATACAGGCCGACGATAAGCCAAAGATAGACCGAAGATAGGCCGAAGATGTGCCTCATAATTTATATGCAGTGCATGCTTTTACTCCTATATAGATTTATAGATCCTCGCATGGTTCATCTACAAACTCAAAGGCATCATTCCCTAGATAAAAGGGATTCAAAAGAAACCTATTATTGCCATAATTGTGAACAAAGGCAAGTGTATTGTGTTCAACAACTTCTCGTGCTTCCAAAAATGTGTGGTCTCCATCTTCAAACTTGCAGTGACCATCAAAACAATCATGGACTATGTGAACCTTACGTTGCACTTGTGCTGATGGGATGACTTTCTTCAATGTTGTCTTCTGCAATACAACTGAGTTGAAGCGACCACGATGAGTTGCTGCATTAGCTTCAAGTTGCTCTGGTAAGGTGTATGTTGTGACTTGTACCCAATTAATGACAGATGTTGATGTTCCAGTTGAGTTGATTAATTTAATGGCACCATCAAACTCTCCAAAGTACTCCTGAAAAATTCCAACATATAGAAACAAAATTAAGAACTGATGGGTAAATTAGTTGCTCCAGAACATCAATATCTGTGTTTGGGTTGATTGTGTTTGTGTTTGTTTGGATTGTGTTTGTTTGGATAGTCAGGCTGCACCTTGGTTCCTATGGATTGTTATAGACTTTTATATACCTGCCCATCTTGGTTTTTACAAGCAATATTTTCCCCCATCCTCACCAGTTCTTGTTTGCTTGATATGCAACCCTTAATTGTAATCATAAAATTAAAAATTTGTTCCGAAATTTCCTTTGCAAAATGTGAAATTTTCGCTGTTTTGCCTTTTTTATAACATGGGGGATAATAGGGGTTAAATAGGGAGTATATTGAAGAACTTGAGGGGACAATAGAGGTTTAATGTTGATAAACTCAGAAACAACATGGCGGCTTCAACTTCTGCCATAGTTGCGCCTTATTTGAGGTATTATAGTATCAAAAAAAGTGTCACTAACCACAAAAATAACCACGGCGTGCGTAAACGCAAACAACAAGGCCAGTGGGCTCAGAAAGTGATTATGGCTGACAATATGGAGGAGCCTGATATCAGTGATATGCAAATGAACAACGAAATGGACGTAGATGAAGTATGCAAATTTTATTGTATAAAGCAATTTATATGTAAATTCTTGAGGTATAGGAACGTGTGTATTTCATTATTTAATAGGTGCCATTAAGAAGACGATACAAAGAGAAATCGAAGGCTAAGGATCCAAGATATAGACGAAGGTTTGACCTTCGTAACGCAAAAAGCCTCCAGACAAAGGTAGGGGATTATTCATTTTATTGTGAAAAATAATAGAGCCGTCAATTCAGTATTACAGTTGTATGTTGTTCATGATTACTAGCATTTATTACATTTAAGATTCAAGATTGGTATGAATTGACCAAGTGTCCAACAGTGGCATTAACATGGTTAAATGGGGAGATATATTATTCAGGTAAAGTATATTTTGTTTTATACTAGAATATAAAATTATATTCTAGCACTGTCATTGTATTAACAATTATCAAGAGACTCGTGAATGTAGGCAATATATATATATATAGCCAGCACAACTAGTTTAAAGCTATAGCAGCTAATTTTAAAGTGACCATGTAAAGTCAGAGTTGAGTTTTTTAAAAAATAGACCAATTCCTGCTCCTCTATCTGGTAAATTTGTGATTATTAATATATATAATTGAATAACTAATATTGATTATATGTAGTATAGTTTTATTAACACATTTGGATTAAGCCCTGATGCACCCTACTTTGAATTTTACTTTTTTTAATCCCAGATCCTTTTATTCATCATAGGGAGGGGGAATGTAACCACAAGGTGCTACATAGTCTCATGTTGTACTCCTTCTGGCTAGATAGTATATATAGTACTATAGTCACAGAATGTAAACATGTTTATGTATATGTTACATAGCTGCTTCTCTGCACCTTTAATGTTAGCATGAACGGTTGTCAAAACTGTCACCTGCTCCAACTGCATGTCAGCTGGTTTTTATAATATTAGTGTATATGTTTCACTTTTTTTAGGGCCTCGTGAGTTAAGGGAATTTGCTGAAAACCCTGCTGTGAAACAGGCATTTGTTGCAGCCATATTTGCTTCCCACTCAGTTGGACCAAACAGTTCTTCAACAGGTATGTACTGTCCACCAAGCTGCTCATATGCCACAATAAATGATCAATGAAATGATTTATTGCACTGTAAGTTAATGAACATTGCTATTCTGTGCAAATTAATGACCTTCAATAGGCAATGAAGTATTAGGTGCACTCTTTTACCTATAATCGTAACATTTTAAATTGGTCTAAATTAGTGTAATAAATAAATAAGCCTAAATATTTATAATTTGACATTTGGACCCCAGTTATGTTACATGTGACTGTCAATTTTGTTATTGTTTTTCACCATTTACATGTTGCTGTAACAATTGAGACAGAGTGAATGAATGAATGAATGAATGAATACTTTATTAAAGTGTCAATGTGTTTAGCTTGAGTAGCTAATTGGGGGCACTATAAAGAGTTTTGGTTACATGTTGCTATTTGGTATTATTATAAATAGTATCTATTTTACAATAGAAAATTATGAACATATGAATGTGAAAGTCAAGATACCAAAAGACTGGAAACAATTGAATGCTCATGGAAAAAGAAAGCTAGTAATTTCCCTAGTTACCAATAATGGTAATGGTGATCATCTTTAAGTGTAATACCAGAATGATACATACAATAATAAATGCATGAATTAATCATTATCAACAAACAGTTATTCTAGTTTTAAAATTATTAAGGAACCAAACAACCACATTGGGGTGATGAGGATCACAAACCAGAATGGTGGCCATCAAGTTTATTGTTTCGTGATCCAAGCAATGGCAGAAACAGGCCTACCGTGGATATGTTGGAGAGGATCATTGCTGCACATATTGGCAAGCACAATGCATTTGTTGATGATGATAGTGATGATGGTGATGACAATGATGGTGATGATGTTGATGGGTATAATTTAGGTGGTGATGTAAATATAGATGGTGGTGAAGATCTGAGTGATGATGCTAGAGATTTGGGTAGAGATGATGCAAACTGGGGACATGGTGGTGAAAATGAAGATGGTGATGATGATGGTGTAAATATGGATAGGAATGGTAAAAATTTAGCAGGTGATGCTAGAAATTTGGGTAGGGATGAGAGTGATGATGCTGGTAATAAGGTTGGTGATGAACAGGATTTGAGTCATGATGAAGAGGGTAGTTCTGATGCGGAAATTGTTGCTATTGTCCCACAACCTGTTTCCCATAATTCCACTCGGCTACGAAAAAGCCAGGACTACAGACAAAGTATGAGTGATCATGGTGCAGAAAGAGCATTTGCTGCATTAGTTGTAAGAACTGCATTCGATTGAAAATACAGACAATTTTTAAGCAATGGATGACATATAGTACCTTGATTTAAGTACTGCATTTTCTAATTAGGCCTTGAGATATCGTGAGCCTTTTTAAATTTCTTTTATCAAGGAAAATTTGTCACCAAACTCGGCGAACTTGGAGAGAGTAATGCATTTCATTGGAGATGTGTGTGCAGATCAGGACTGGGCGTTACTCAAGAACCTTAGCGAGACAATGGAGGAACTGGTTCAATTTTCTCCGCTACGTACAAAGTCGAAGCCATCTGTTTGTCATGTGACTATTCCAGATATTGAGATCAGGTACGTGAATTTGTTTTACTTATATTCAGTTATGCTGTGCTGTTCTATTTGGGGCCTTTTGATGTTGCGTTGCGTTGTGTTATTGCATGTTTTGTGGGGTTTTATACAGGTAGAGTCTCTAAAAATTGAAAAAAAGAATTTTTTCACGGCAGCAAAAGAGTGTCGTCGTGAATAGCAGATATGGCAAAACATTCCATTTTTAGTTTTAGGCATTAAATGTCTTTAAAAGCAGTTTCAAAGTCAAGAGATAGTGCGTTACTTATGTGTTGTGAGTTAAACTATATATATACGTGAGCAGAAAATATTTCTTCACCAAAATCTTATTTACGTCTGCAAAAAGGTTCCGTCGAAAAAGTGCTGTTGTGATACCATTTTCGCTATTCATGTCGGAATTGCTGCTGTTGAATAAATTTTAAAATCTGCATCTTACTTGTTTTTGTTGCATTTTGTTCTGTAAAATTGTTGAAATCTGTTTCCAAACAGTGTTAGATGCCAAGTTCCGGATGATATGCTCCGCTCAGGTTGGGAACCATTAGGGGTTTGTGGAGATGGGAATTGTCTGTTTCGGTCAGTGTCAGTATCTATAAGTGATAACCAGTCTGAGTCTCTACATCAATGGTTAAAACTCTGGTGTATCGTCCATGGCTGTGTAAATGAGCACTTTTACATCAAGCAGGTACAGTGTAACTGTGGTTTAACTGGTTTTGGCAGCTGTATACCAACCATTTTGAAACATTAACAGAGTGAAAAGCTTGCTTTCATTTATGAATATGGTATACAGTATTATTAAAAAATGAAATATTGTATCAATTTGATCATTTTTACTCAATTTTATACCTCAGTTTCTTGCCGATGCAGATCGCGTTGATGGCTTTCTGTCATTAATAACAGATGATGATGTATATGGCGGTTTGAAAGATAACATGACTATGAATGATAGAGTTAGTTATGTTTATATGCGTGAGATAATGAAAACCTCTGTGGATGGTCGTTACTCTGGTAAGTTGCAGTAGTAAGGTTTTTAATATGCAACCGAGTTTGTTTAACGTGGAACACATACTAACTTGTACCACATTGTATCATTTCCTGGGAAAATTTAAAAACAATTTCCGACTGGCTCAGCGGAGGCAATTATGTTGAAAGCGTTCAGATAATATGGTGTTATGGTTTTTTATTATAATAATAGGATATCTCCAAATTGTGCTTTTGGCTGGCTTACTTAAAACCACCATTTGCCAGCATTGCTCTGCGCCAGGATATGAACTCTATAACACAGAGATATGTCCTCCAAATGGGTCGACCGAATCAATTCATCTGCTCTGGTGCCAGCTATCTGGTGGAACGATTAATCACATTGTTCCGATGTTGAGATGTGAAACTGACGAACGTAAGAAATTTATATAATTAATGTTGTTTATATGCTGTAAGCTAAAATTGTTCCATTTCAGTTGTGTTGTTATCATCTATCAGACTACGTTCACACGGGACCGGAAGAATTCATGACCGTGCTCGAATTCGTCCGGTTTCATCGTGTGAACACGTAGAACCGGTTAAATTTTCATCCGTTTTCACCGTGTGAACACCTGAACTGGACGAATTCGAGCACGGTCTCGAATTCATCCGGTCCCGTATGAAGGTAGCCTCAGCGTATCACTGCAATTGGGATTCTTAAAACATTTATCAACACTTTAATTGAGGTATAATTGTGACTGTTAGTGCCCCTTTAGTCATGTTTGATAGCCAAGCTTCTGTATAGTTTTTTATATACTTCCAAAATGGTTATATAATAGACTTTGCTTTCAATGGAACTTTAACGTGTCTTACCCACAATTATATTTCATTATTTTGCAGATATAAATACCTTTTCCGAGAATTTTAAAACAGCTTGTGCAGCGACAATGAAATGCCAATTCGCACATAACCTAGACAGTGCTGCTGACGAGAGATGGATTTTGTGTGAACAGTGCTTGTTCTGGTATCATGAAAGCTGTGTATACCATATTACAAAGAGGAGTTTGCCAGCACATTGGTTCTGCGGTTGTATGAAACAACCAGAATGTATTTGGTACTACATATGTTTATGTCGCCATCTTTTTCGCCCTTTTGTGCCTGTACCTTTTTTTAGACTGTCATTGGTCGGAATGAAGTATGAGCAACCGCAAAAAATTGCTCTTGACAAGATGTCCAAAATATAATACATACTGTAATTTTTTTAATTTTATAGGGCTAACGATTTTGATGAACCAACGAAGCTTCGACGATTCTTTGTTCGTTCCTCTAATTCCGAATTGAAGGTAATTTTTTTATTTCATTAAAATACTTGTGAAAGTTCTAACTTTCTAACATTTGACAGTGATAATTGGTAGAAACTAAAATGACTGAAACAAAAATGGTAAAATAGATTAGTTTAAAAAGAAGTTTTAAAAATACAAATGTTAGGAGACTATACTGTATCTTCCTTCATCAGTTTTATCAAATTGTTCGAAATCTTGTATTCTTATTTGAATCAACCGTATTTGTTAACTTTTCTTGTCACGGTTTCTCTGTGGCTATATAAGTCAAATGATTCTGACACAGAAGTCATAAAAACTCAACAAAAATTACCACTTTTAAAAAATTTCCTTCAGTTGTTCTTGCGTAGTCTGGCGAAAAAAGAGGTGAAGAGTAGGAGAGTGACATTATTTATTCAAAGTTTGGCTGGTAATACGAATGCTGATAATCTTTTGAAACAAAATACTGGTTTGGGAATATTTAGAGATGTAAATACCGTAAGTATAAATGTTTCTTTGATTTTAAATTATAAGTTAGTATTTCGTTTACAGTAACCTAATATTTGAATATAGCACTACGCAGTTTCAAATATAGAACTGAAACTACTATAATAATTCAGTGTGTAGAAACTAGTATGTTTTATATATGCTCTCGCCTCTTATATTGCACAGTATACCTCAGTGTCTAGTCAGTATACCATATTGTTTGAACAGATATTACTGAATATACTTTTTTTTAAATTTTAAAACTTTAGAAAGATTATGTAAAGAGATTTGTTAAAACAAGTATCGAAAATGATGACAATATGCTTCTGGAGGAAATTATTCTCCTGGAACAGCGCGAGCAGTATATTTTTGAAGTGTGTGTACCAGAGGTATAAGCAACAGATTGTGATTGTGCGTTTTTGCAATTCCAATGGCACGCTTTTGCTAACGGTGTACATTTTGTCTATCCAGGTTGTTATTTGGATCATGGCTAAAGCCGGAAATATAAGCAGAGCATTGGCGGAAAGGTTTTTTTTTGAATACTTCTCACACAATAAAATTGATTGAGTTGGAATTCTTAGAATTCGCTCATTGTTTATGTATAGTATGCGACTGGGTACTAACGCCATCGTCAATAAACACGAATATGGTTATAAATTTGAATAAGGTTAATTAAATTTGCGTTTTATGGAATGAACTAACGTCTATTAATTATGACCGTTCCAATAATGTTCACATGTATGAAATATGCTTTGTAAATAAAACGATTATATAGTAGGACTTTACGGGTTTTTTATAAATCATCATAAGTGCATGCGATAATCTTTATATCATTCATTCTAACGTTGGCGAAAATCTCCTATGATGAAATTAAACACTGAGGAGGCAAGTACTAAAATTACAATGGTTCCTGGTAGGTTACATGTAATAACATGTAAAACAGGTTCAATTCCTGTCAGCCATGAAAATACGTTGCACGATATATTAGGAAGGTTCACGCGATAAAAATGGCAAAAAGCAATTTATTGAGTTAAACTATCATGTCAAAAATTTTGTCAACATAACAACGTTTCTTTCTTTTACAAAAGTTTAAGTCAGAAATATCATACACCTGCAAAGGCTGAGATGGTTGATGTCTATAATCTTATATAACCATGCCTTGGTTATCATGTCAAAAATTTTGTCAACATAACCACGTTTCTTCTTTTTACAAAAGTTTAAGTCAGAAATATCATACACCTGCAAAGGCTGCGATGGTTGATGTCTATAATCTTATATAACCATGCCGTGGTTATCATGTCAAAAATTTTGTCAACATAACCACGTTTCTTCTTTTTACAAAAGTTTAAGTCAGAAATATCATACACCTGCAAAGGCTGCGATGGTTGATGTCTATAATCTTATATAACCATGCCGTGGTTATCATGTCAAAAATTTTGTCAACATAACCACGTTTCTTCTTTTTACAAAAGTTTAAGTCAGAAATATCATACACCTGCAAAGGCTGCGATGGTTGATGTCTATAATCTTATATAACCATGCCGTGGTTATCATGTCAAAAATTTTGTCAACATAACCACGTTTCTTCTTTTTACAAAAGTTTAAGTCAGAAATATCATACACCTGCAAAGGCTGCGATGGTTGATGTCTATAATCTTATATAACCATGCCGTGGTTATCATGTCAAAAATTTTGTCAACATAACCACGTTTCTTCTTTTTACAAAAGTTTAAGTCAGAAATATCATACACCTGCAAAGGCTGCGATGGTTGATGTCTATCTTATATAACCATGCCGTGGTTATCATGTCAAAAATTTTGTCAACATAACCACGTTTCTTCTTTTTACAAAAGTTTAAGTCAGAAATATCATACACCTGCAAAGGCTGCGATGGTTGATGTCTATAATCTTATATAACCATGCCGTGGTTATCATGTCAAAAATTTTGTCAACATAACCACGTTTCTTCTTTTTACAAAAGTTTAAGTCAGAAATATCATACACCTGCAAAGGCTGCGATGGTTGATGTCTATAATCTTATATAACCATGCCGTGGTTATCATGTCAAAAATTTTGTCAACATAACCACGTTTCTTCTTTTTACAAAAGTTTAAGTCAGAAATATCATACACCTGCAAAGGCTGCGATGGTTGATGTCTATAATCTTATATAACCATGCCGTGGTTATCATGTCAAAAATTTTGTCAACATAACCACGTTTCTTCTTTTTACAAAAGTTTAAGTCAGAAATATCATACACCTGCAAAGGCTGCGATGGTTGATGTCTATAATCTTATATAACCATGCCTTGGTTATCATGTCAAAAATTTTGTCAACATAACCACGTTTCTTCTTTTTACAAAAGTTTAAGTCAGAAATATCATACACCTGCAAAGGCTGCGATGGTTGATGTCTATAATCTTATATAACCATGCCGTGGTTTCATGTCAAAAATTTGTCAACATAACCACGTTTCTTCTTTTTACAAGTTTAAGTCAGAAATATCATACCCTGCAAAGGCTGCGATGGTTGATGTCTATAATTATAACCATGCCTTGCGTTATCATGTCAAAAATTTTGTCAACTAACCACGTTTCTTCTTTTTACAAAAGTTTAAGTCAGAAATATCATACACCTGCAAAGGATGCGATGGTTGATGTCTATAATCTTATATAACCATGCCTTGGTTATCATGTCAAAATTTGTCAACATAACCACGTTTCTTCTTTTTACAAAAGTTTAAGTCAGAAATATCATACACCTGCAAAGGCTGCGATGGTTGATGTCTATAATCTTATATGACCATGCCGTGGTTATCATGTCAAAAATTTTGTCAACATAACCACGTTTCTTCTTTTTACAAAAGTTTAAGTCAGAAATATCATACACCTGCAAAGGCTGCGATGGTTGATGTCATGCATGCAAAAGCACATAACTGGACATGTTTAGGTATACATTATTAATTACTTTTGAACACATTTGTATTGTGAACATAAAAAAGCATTGGGCCTTGCGATCATGTTTTTTTATGCATGTATTATGCCTAGATCAAACATCTCCCTCTCTTTATGTGCCGAACTCAATGCGAATTACTTGAAATCTTTGTTTGAGCTCATTTACATTAAGTTTGGCGCACCAAAAGAGCGACCTTTGATGTAGGGCTTATATTTTTAATATATTAGCAATTGGAAGCACAATTAAATGCTATAGTTTTGTCTTTTTAGGTGCTATAAGGAGGTCTGCAAGAAGAAGCTGCATGTTCGACTGGAGAGGTAGTGGAACAAATAAATTCAAATTTCTCAAGGCTTGGTAATACGACGAAATACATGCCGCCAGAAGGTAGTTCCTGCTCTAACGATGAAGAAATAGTTACTCGCACAGAAAATGAGGTTTGAAAGCATTTATATAAAAAACTAAGCTCTGAGCGTTATAGCCTTAATAATTTTTAAACATGTACTCTGGTGGTATTTCATACTACAAGAAATATAAAATATTTCGTGCTTTTCCCTTTTCACCCGTTTTCAACCCTAGCAGTTGTTCCAATTGCATTAGGATAGCTTTACCTGTTTTTGATAAAATGAAAATTTTCTCCACCATAATCAAACTTTTTATAATGTGTATATACATTAAATATTTTAGGTTACACAGTATAAAGTCGTTGAAATGTCAAAATCATATCTATGTGGTTTGCAAGCATTAAAAAAATGGTGTTGACTACTGTATTTGCCAATTGAACCTGGTTGTTGAATACTTTGTTGAAGTTGTTCAACGCAGCACTGATCAGGTATAAAGAACATGATTTCTGTTCTATGAGCTATGTTTTTTTCACAATTCAATTTTAATATACCATATGCATAGATACGTGCAGAACATGTACTCTTAATTTTGTGTGTTGTGGAAATTGTATCTTTCAATTTAGCTGCCATTGACCGTTCATTCAGTATCAGGATCCATTTCCCTCTTATGTGTCGTTCTGGAGAACAATGTTACAATGTTGTTTGTGTTCTGGTATTTTATCTGCTTCGTGTGAACATGTGGAGGAAGTGAGCAAGCTCTTGGAAGATGATGATGAAATGCCTGATTTTGTTGAATTGTTCAATAAGTGCAGGGATGATCATGTGGGTGTACATGCAAAGGCTTCGTGGTATTTGCGTTCCAAATCATATATGGCTATACCATTTGTTTTACCGAAGCAGCTTAAACAGGTAATGTTTGAAACGTCAGAATGCCAAATCCTTATGGACGATGGAGGAGCACGTTTAACCCCTACTTTACCGGACGTCAATAGTAAATTTATTGCCTGTCCATCGTGCGGTTCGGCGTGGCGAGCAGACTCACCAATTGCCTATGAGTGGTTATCTCAAACCTGCAACCTTATTTTAAGAAGGTTCATTCTGAAATGCTTTGGTGAGTACATAATTAATCACAGTAAGTATTCTAGTACATTCAGTCATTCAACTTCATAGCACCGTATGTTCCTAAAAAAACAAAACTGACATATTGGTAGAAATGGAGATATAATCATTCCTTATTGAGCTGATTGAGATTGAATTGTGTGACTTACATAAGGCCAAAATGCTTTATGCATGGAAGTTTACATCTTTGTATATATTTTATGCTTTTCAGTGTATTACCGTCCGTGTTCCAACATTTTGTGTGGCCAACGTCTTGAATACGATGGCAGTAATGTTGCCCTTTTGAACATGGGTAAATTTGTCATTTCGTATGACGTTATACGCGACTTCATGTTTCACTTTTTGATGGGGAGGTATGTTTTAATGGTTATTTGCTTTTTAAAATGTATATCATTTATCAACATATATTACCATTGTTGTCATTTTTGTCGTTATTAACAAAGGTTGAGTCGAATCAGTAGATGCGAAGTTATGTTTCAATGATATCGAATATGACATATTAATTACTTGTGTATGCCTTTCTGTATCTTTTATTGTAGATGTACAATGTATACCTACAATAATGTTTGGTCCGAAGTGATGAATGATGGCGGAAAGGCTGATTTGTGAGAGATCATTTCTCTGAAGCAATGGCAAGCAAGTTGGTACTCGTTTCTGCAACTGTTAGATATTGACTATAACGAGGGTTTTTGTTGTCCAATATGTGGGACCGATTCTCTGGATGTCATTGTTTGTGATGGAACCTCGCTTGCCTTCAGACAGGCATTTATCATGGGTCTCGCTCAAGACTATAGTAATTCTATTGATACAAGAACTGGAAGATAAGTATATTGGCTTATACAGAACTAGTTTTACTAAGTTGGCGACTAATAAAATAGATCAACTTTTTTTCAATAGACCTTATGCATAATGACGTCAAGCGCTTCTGCGTGACCACAAAGACCAGCATTTCTTGTGAGACTTACATTGTTTTTTTTGTTAATTCTCGCAGATATTACCGGGTTTTTGTGGTCATTGCAAAAGTATTTGACGTCATTATGCACATGGTCTATAAGTCACGTAATTTCCTTTTTACCCCTTACACTAGCCACCGTGAGCGAGTTTACGTGCTGGACAAGAATCTTCGAGAAGCTATAAAAAGTGTTGCAAGAA